CGCTACCCTGGGGCGGCCCGTGGGCGGCGGCCGCGGCCTAGAGGCGGAAGATCCGGGGCGTCACCGGGCGCGGGCGGAGCCTCACCCGCGGAGGAGGGACCTGCGGCCACACGGGCGGAGGCCTCATTCACCTGGGGGAGCCCNCCCTCACCGCAGGCTCCCGCTACCGCGGAGGGAGCTTCCTCTCCGGGCATCTGCCCGCCCACCCGGGGCCGTCTGTGCGCCTGGCCTGGACCGGAGGACCCTACCCACGCTCCCCAACCCTCTCCCCACACCCGGTCCTGGGGTGTGAGGGCCCCTAGGGCGCAGACAGCCCCGCCTCCGCAAACCGTTGGGTTGGCCCGACCTCCGGGCCACTCCGCCGAGGGCCCCGACTGCAGCTGGTGGCGGAGAGGTCAGGCCGCCCGCCCAGCCCCGCGTGCAGAAGGGGTGAGGTGGGCGCCGCCCGGCCCTGGCTCCATGACCCAGAAGGTCCAGTGCTTGGCACAGGGGACACGAATACAGGAAACGGAAGAAATTGCCCATAGTCAGGAGGAAACACACAGCTAGGACTGTGGGAACTCCGGCTGAGGCTCCTATTCTTACTTGCTGTGTGTCCTTGGTGAGCCCCTGAAGCTCTCTGATCCCCTGAACCTCTCTGATCCCCTGAACCTCTCTGATCCCCGGCCTTCTTCCAGAATGGGGTCATCCTATGCTCTGATCACCCCAGGGCTGCTAGGAGTTTCACTGAGTTAACTGCTGAGAAGATGGGCTGCAAACTGCAAAGCCTGGTGCACCAGTGATCTTCCTATATGCAAAGGGAGGTGCCAGGGCAGCCCTGACATAGGCCCCTAGAACAGGAAGTCTTGGCTTGGCATAAAAGATTTCCCAGCCTTGGTCCCTCACCGCTTCTCCCATCCGTTTAGCCCTTCCACCCCCACCCCATGGATTGGTGACTCCTCCTTTCACCCATTCCAGTGGGCCACTCCCTCCTCAGACCCACACCTGTTGGACCCAAGGCTGCTTCTGCCTCAGCATAGAGTCCTGAGTGCACTCCTGACAGGTCTGCTGGCTCAACTTCCCCCCAAGGGAGGGCTTTCCTGGGCAGCATTGATTCGTATGGAGCTGAGGACCCGATTGGGGTGTTTTTCTGGATGAGTCCTTTGGTCCTCTCCATGNTTCCCCCCAAGGGAGGGCTTTCCTGGGCAGCATTGATTCGTATGGAGCTGTGGACCCGATTGGGGTGTTCCCCAGTGGCAGAGGATGGCGAGTGGTGGATTGGGGAATAGGGCAAGGTCAGACCCTTTTTGCTGTTGGGTGGGGCAAGACTCCATTGAGAGAGTAAAGGTACAGGGATTGTGTCAATGAATCTAGGAACTTTATACACCATTTACTTTGCATTGACTATATTTGATATACTGTTTAAATTTTGCAGCTGCAGTTTTAATCAAGTCTACACTGTTTTCAGAGTTGTAGGCAAGACATAAACAGACCCTTCTTTCTCCCTGCTGCTGGACTTGCTGCACCCCTGGCACACTGAGACCTGTTCCTGGGGCGGCGGGCTTGGCTGGTTTCTGAGAGTGTTGCCAGCTCTGATGTCCTGGGTGGAGTGTGGCAGGCTTTTATAGGCAAAGACCCATTCAGCATAGCTCTGTGAGGCATTTTACCTGTGAGGCAACTGAGGCACAGCAGTGAAGTGAAGCAAGCCTCTCTCGAAGGGAACAACTCTGTCTCTGAGTCTCTGGTTTCTGCTCCATTCTTAGGTCAGTTAAACAGCCTTTGTGGAAATGTATGTAGTGAGCATGATTCCAGGCAGCAGGGCCATGGCAATGAACCAAACAGGAAAAAAATTCCTGCCCTCATGGAGCTGATGTTTCACTGGGGAGAGGCAGAAAATAAACGTATAAGTGTGTAAAGCTACTATTTGGTATTGTCTGCTGGGGAAAAATAAAGCATGGCATGGGGGCTAGAGAGTGCTAGGAGTGAGGACAGTTGCAGTTTTATAAAGGCAGGTCAAGGAAGGCCTTGCTGAGGTGACATTTGAGCAAAGACCCAGAAGGGGTGAGAGAATGAACCGAAGGATAGATGGACATGATGGAGTTGGACCAGGGTTCTTCAGGGCCTTCATACACCTTGCAGTCCATGTTTTTTGGGGTGACCCCCATTATGCTAGAATCTTGGAATGTCTAAGCTGGTAGGCCTTCGGGGGACCACCGGGGCCTCTCTCACCTGTTCACCCTGGTTCCTCCTGTCCCTCTCCAGGGTAGTCAGCATGCTGCGCTTCCTGGTGCCCCGGCTGTTTTGCCTTCGAGGCAGGACTGCCCCGTACTCCTCAGCAGCAGCCCTCCCAAGCCCCATCCAGAACCCAGATATTCGCTACAACCAGCTGTTCATCAACAATGAGTGGCAAGATGCAGTCAGCAAGAAGACCTTCCCAACAGTCAACCCCAGCACAGGAGAGGTCATCGGTCACGTGGCTGAAGGGGACCGGGCTGATGTGGACCGGGCGGTGAAAGCGGCCCGAGAGGCCTTCCGCCTGGGGTCTCCGTGGCGCCGGATGGATGCCTCCGAGCGGGGCCGACTGCTGAACCGCCTGGCCGACCTAGTGGAGCGGGATCGTGTCTACCTGGCCTCACTGGAGACCTTGGACAATGGGAAGCCTTTCCAGGAGTCTTATGTCATGGACCTGGATGAGGTCATCAAGGTGTATAGGTACTTCGCCGGCTGGGCTGACAAGTGGCACGGCAAGACCATCCCCATGGATGGTGAGCATTTCTGCTTCACCCGGCACGAGCCCGTTGGTGTCTGTGGCCAGATAATCCCGTGGAACTTCCCCTTGGTCATGCAGGGCTGGAAGCTCGCCCCGGCGCTTGCCACTGGCAACACCGTGGTCATGAAGGTTGCAGAGCAGACCCCCCTTTCTGCCCTGTACTTGGCCTCCCTCATCAAGGAGGCGGGCTTTCCCCCCGGGGTGGTGAACATCATCACAGGCTACGGCCCTACAGCAGGAGCGGCCATCGCCCAGCATATGGATATCGACAAAGTTGCTTTCACCGGCTCCACCGAGGTGGGCCACCTGATCCAGAAGGCGGCTGGAGATTCCAACCTCAAGAGAGTCACCTTAGAGCTGGGCGGGAAGAGCCCCAGCATCGTGTTGGCTGACGCTGACATGGGCCATGCCGTGGAGCAGTGCCACGAGGCCCTCTTCTTCAACATGGGCCAGTGCTGCTGTGCGGGGTCCCGGACCTTCGTAGAAGAATCCATCTACGATGAGTTTCTCGAGAGAACAGTAGAGAAAGCTAAGCAGAGGAAAGTTGGGAATCCCTTTGAGCTGGACACCCAGCAGGGGCCCCAGGTGGACAAGGAGCAGTTTGAACGAATCCTGGGCTACATCCGGCTCGGCCAGAAGGAGGGGGCAAAACTTCTCTGTGGTGGGGAGCGTTTTGGGGAGCGTGGTTTCTTCATCAAGCCCACGGTCTTTGGTGGTGTGCAAGATAACATGAGGATTGCCAAGGAGGAGATCTTTGGGCCTGTGCAGCCCCTGTTCAAGTTCAAGAAAATCGAGGAGGTGATTGAGAGGGCCAACAACACCAGGTATGGCTTGGCTGCTGCTGTGTTCACACGGGACCTGGACAAGGCCATGTACTTCACACAGGCGCTCCAAGCTGGGACAGTGTGGGTGAACACCTATAACATCGTCACCTGCCACACGCCATTTGGAGGCTTTAAGGAGTCTGGCAATGGGAGGGAGCTGGGGGAGGATGGGCTTAAGGCCTACACAGAGGTGAAGACGGTTACCATCAAGGTTCCACAGAAGAACTCGTAAGAATGTCCGCCATGGAGACCCAGCTTCAGTCCAAGGATTCCACAACCATCTACCAGTGGTCACCAAACATTTTTTTTAGCCATGGACCCCCTTTTTTTAATCCAAATGAACTTTTAGAACCTTAGCAAATGAAATAATTACAATCAGAGCTGCTCTAGTTAAAGCAGGTATGGGGACAGTTCAGAGTCCCATCCATCTGCACCCCAACCCACACCCCCTTATAGGCCCTGAGCTACTTCCGTGAAACCTTAAGAAGCTCCAGAAGATAGATTAAAAACCACTGATCTGGATTTTAGTTCTTCCTGCGGATCCAAGGGCTTTCTAATGGATTAACCTGCTGGCTTAGTGGATGGGCTCACCTCAGACATGGGATTAGAAGGCATTAGGGGTTTGATGGATGCTGAATGTTGGCGCCATTCTTCATGGATTTAACCTAAAAATCAAGGGTGCTTTTCCTTTTCTAAGTACCAGTTGTTGGCTATTTTGCTTGCTTGCCCCTAATTTTCCTTAATTTGGGGGAAGGAATGGGCAAAGGACAAATTTACTTAACCATTCCTTTAAAAGAAGCTCAAGCAACCCAAATGTCCATCAACTACTGAGTAAAGAAAATGTTTCCATGGAACAGCCTTGTACTTTTCAGCCATAAAAAGGAATGAAATGCTGATACACACTGCCTCGTGGACGAACCTTGAAAACATTATGCTGCATGAAAGCAGACAGACATACAAGGCCATGTATTGTATGATTCCATTTATATGAAATGCCCAGAATAGGCAAATCCATAGAGAGAGGGTGTGTGGTGGTTGCCAGGGGCGGGGGAAGAGGGAATGGCGAGTAACTGCTAATGGGTATGGGATTTTTTGGGTGGAGGTTTTAAAATATTCTGGAATTGGACAGTGGTGGTGGTTACACTTTGTGAATATACTAAAAAGGATACTGAATTGCATACTTTGAAAGGGTGAATTTTATGATATGTGAATTGATTTCAATCAAAAATTAAAATAAATAAATTCACACATTCTGTTTGCACATCCATTTTGTGTCCATACCCTCTTGCTGCTGGATAGTTTAGACTCTCAGAGATGGAAGGGATGCAGTTAGTCAACCCCCAGCCAGGTGCAAAAGTCCCCTCCACAATATTCTGAGTTTAGTTTTTGTTTTCTCCTGGCTGACAAAGTTCAACTTTAAGACCCACAATAAAAAGCTCTGGTTCCTGCCTGGAACAAGTCCATGTCAGATCTCATTTCAAGACTTCCATTGGCATTGCCCCAACCTCTACTAAAACACACCGCCCCTCAAGCCAAGCTCAGTATCAGGGCCATCCTCACATGCTGGGATTTCCAGAGGTTCAAACCTGAGAGTTCAGTATGTTTACTGTGAGCCTTAATTCCTCAATGGATGGGAGTAACTCCAAGCCAATGGGCCACGACACCTAAACAGCATGCTGAGCCGTCTCTCCTTGTTTTCCATCTTTCTACCACATTAATAAGGAATCACCCTGCTTGTAGGTCCACTCAGTGTAGTGAATGCACACCCCCAGGCAGCTCTTTAGCATCCTGTTGTCTCACCCAGGCTTCAAGATGATTTTGTTCAGTATCTAACCTTGGAGTTGGCCTGAAACTGCTTTCTGGGGATTCTGAGTCTGTTTGTTCCCCTCATCTCTCCTTCCAGGACCTCCTTTCTATGCCATTTTTCTAAGGCTGGGGTGACCCTGACTGTCCCCTGAAGAGCACTTTTATCTGCTTCTCTTAAAGACTATTGGTACTTTGCATAGTCGTGAGAGTATCTCATGAAACAGAGAAACAGGAGTGAGTAGGTGGGTGAATGGGAGTCTCTAATGACTATCAAGCAACATCTCAGTGTTTTAACAAATCCATTGTTTATTTGCTTCTCAGTACTTCTCAACCAAGAGAAACTTGGTACAGGGTGTCCCAGGATGGGGTGAGGCTGGAAAAGGACAATCTTCTAGGGCTCTTATTTTGATCCCTGAAATCCTGAGACTGAGGAGTCAGGTCAGATTTCTAGTGAGCTCAACCCCCCATGGCTCCTCTGCATCATCGCCATTTCTCTGTGTATAGGGCCATGCAAGCAAGGAGGTGGAACTGGGCATCGTTTAACACAGAGACTGCCTGCAGGATTTCACTTGATCATAGATGTCGCAATTCTGGGCACCCATTTCCAACAAACTTACCAAGCTCTACTCTGCCAGATGCCATCTATGCCAGGTGCCTTTACACGCCACTGAAGCCTCACACAATCCTGGAAAATAGGCAGTGGGGTTACCAGTTTTTTTTAGATGAGGAAATGGAAGCTAAGAGGTTTATCATGAAGTTCATTTGGACTCAGTTTCCTATGTGCATACACTATGGGCCAGAAAGGGGGCAATCTGAGAGCACATCTAATCCGACCTTGACTCCTGAAGGGTCCAAGGACTCAGCTTCTTTGCCGCATCCCTCAGGGCTGCTGCTTGGGCACACTGGCACTGCTTCTCTCATTGAATCCCAGATGCCAGGCCATTTAAGACCTTTGATTTAGTTTGGCTCTATTCTGGGGGTGAGGCTGACCTCTGGTGGCCACCTGGTTAATTAATTTGCTCAGGTCATTGGTTTAAAAAGAAGGGGGGCTAAGGTTCTGGCTCTAGGCAGTTTGCAGGGACAGAGACATGAACGAGGTAGTAGCTGCCTTGCAGGAGCTCACAGTCTGGCAGAGACACAACTACAGAACCAGTGAAAAATGGAAGTACAGAGGCCATGAGATCACAAAAGAAACAGTATTAAGCACCCACAATATTTATCTCATTTACTGCTTCAGTCACTTTACCCTCAGTCACTTATTTTTTCTGACTGGTTATTTAAAAAAATATTTCTAGTTTTTCAATTACAGTTGACATACAATATTATATTAGTTTCAGGTTTACAACAGTGATTAGACCAGGGGCGGGGAAACTTTTTTCTGCCAAGGGCCATTTGGATATTTATAACATCATTCGGGGCCATACAAAATGATCAACTTAAAAATTAGCTATGAAAAAAAGCTCCTAGATTTATTGAATTTTGAGTCCCACCTACGGTTGCCTTGGCAAGGGCCAGACCAAATGATTTCACAGGCCATATACGGCCCTCAGGCCGGACGTTCCCCACCCCTGGATTAGACATTTATATGACTTACAAAGTTATCACCCCAATAAGTCTAGTGCCCATCTGACATCATACATGGTTATTACAATATTATTGACTATATTCCCTATGCTGTAGTTTATATCCCATGATTATTCTGTAACTACCAATTTGTACATCTTAATCCAGTCCCTTTTTTCATCCAGCCCCTCAATCCCACTCCCATCTGGCAACTATCAGTTAGTTCTCTGCATCTTTGAGTTTGTTTCTGCTTTGTTCATTTATTTTGTTTTTTAATTCCACATATAAATGAAATCGTTTGGAATTTGTCTTTTCCTATCTGACTTATTTCACTTAGCATAATACCCTCTAGGTCCATCCATGCTGTCACAAATGGCAAGAGTTCCTTCTTTTTTATGGTTAATACTCCATTGTATTGCGCCACAACTTCTCTACCCATTCCTCTATTGATGGGCACCTTGGCCGATTCCATATCTGGGCTGTTGTAAATAATGCTGCAACGAACATAGAGGTGCATAGGTCTTTTTATTTTTTATTTTTATTTTTTAAATCTATCTTTATTGATTTCAGAGACAGGAAGGGAGAGGGAGAGAGAGAGATAGAAACATCAATGATGAGAGAGTCATTGATCAGCTGCAGCCCGCAACCCGGGCATGTGCCCTGACCGGGAATCAAACTCTGATCGCCTGGATCCTAGGTCGATGCTCAACGCCCGGCCGGGCTGCACAGGTCTTTTTGAATTCATGTTTTGGGTTTCTTCATATAAATACCCCAAAGTGACATTGCTGGGTCATATGGTAGTTCTATCTTTAATTTTTTGAGGAACCTCCATACTGTTTTCCTCCAGACTGTGGCTACACCAATTTACAATCCCACCAACAGTGCACTAGGGTTCCCTTTTCTCCACATCCTTGTCAGGCACTTCCTGATATTCCACACTTGATAAATAATCATGGCAGCCCAGAGATGCTCCAATAGTAAGGGGAGCCAGGATGCAAACTCAGGTCTTCTGACGCTACTGCACCCAGTTCAACCCCAGGGAAAGGCTCTGTGGGAGGGACACGGATCCTACTGGATGAAAAGGAGGCAACCAGGCAGAGAGACAAGGAAGGCTGTTCCTGGGAGAGGGAAGGGCATGAAGTTTGTGAAAAAGCATGCAGGGTGCGAAGAAACGGTGTGAGGAAGGGACAGGCAGGGAGGAAAGGCCTGGGAGGAGGCAGGGGCTGGGTTGTGAAGGGGCTGGGCACCCTGTGAGGAAAACTTAAGAGTTTTGAAAGGAATGTGAAAGGGTCATATTTTAGTTTCTAAAGCTGGTTCTGTTTCAGTGGGAGGGTAGGTTGAGGGGGCGACCTGAAGCTGGAGGTCTATTGTCAGTGATGTTAACCTGAACCAGGCGTGGGGACGGGTGGGAGATCTTGGGAGCCAGGAGGTGACCCGTGCTGCTGGCTGGGGTAACCAAGTGGATGGTGGTGCCAGCACTGGGAAAGAGCACTTAGCTGGAGAAGGTTTGGGGACAAGATGGTAAGTTTATTCATTTATTCAACACGTTTTTTAGCGAGTGCGGACCCTCAGCACCCAGTGAAGCCTGGTGCTCTGCAGACGTGTGTGGGGATTTATGAATGGAGATGAGAGGCTTCTGTCTCCCAACCCCAACCCCACTTCCTACCCCTCCCTGGACCGCCACCCACTCCCTAACACCCGCCGGCAGGGGCAGATTCAGGCGTGAGGAAGGAGAGACACGGGCCACCCTGCCTCCGGCACACTCAGCCCTGCGGCCCAGAGGAGCTCAGGCTCTGGGGAGGAGGCGGCAGCGAGCGAGCCGGGCGCCGGTTCGGATCCCGCCCTGATGGGTGCCCACGTCTGAATTCATTACTGAGCTGCAGACGCCGGGCGCTCCAGTTTCCCTTCATTAATTAAAATAGCGCATGTAATCTGTCTCTGATTTAACGTTCCAGAGGCCCTGGCGAAGGCCAGCAGTGAGGAAATTCATTAGAGGAGACTGTTCACTGTCGGTTCATCTGCTCATTCTTATTAATTTTACCTGCATAACCCATCCCTGGGGGGAGGCAGGGGCAACGCGTTTTTTTTTGTTTTTTTTTTAAACATAGGCTTAAATTCACCATAAAACCTGATGAAAAAATTTGTTTTGACTAAAAATCAGACTTTTTAAGGTGGGAAGTGGATACATTTGGGATTGGACACTGTCTTTCAAATTATCTTCCTCCAGCCCAGTTATAACTTAGTTGACCACAGGCTGAGATTCAGGCTGCCTGCTGCTTACAGCATCAAGTCCAGCCTCCTCTGGAGGCATTTCGGGCTGTGGCCTAAGCCCTGGCCCCCACTTGCCACTACAGCTTCCAGCAGCCACACTGGCCACTACTCCCTGTTCACAAACTACACTGCACTTCTCTACCCCTGCTCCTTTCACGTGCCGTCTCCCTAGCCAGGAATCCCCCACACTCCTCCAATCCCCGGCTCAGATGCCTCCTCTTCTCTTCCAGGAAGTCTTCCCTGATCTTCCCCTACTCTGATCACAGAGCAGACATTTTGTGCTTCCCGGCAGAATGGTGACTTCATCCCACGCATCCCCACTCCAGTATCACCCGAGTGCACGGCCCAGGTCCCACCCACCTTCACATTGTCAAGTGTCTGCGCCCTTCTGGCCTCTGGAGGATGCCACTCCTGTGTGCGTGTGGAATATGGCAGAGGGCAGATCTAAGCGAGTGAATTAAATACTAGAATGTTTACACTGTGGGAGACCCAAGTTCAGGGGGAGCTAGAAGAATCGGGCCAGCAGCAGACAATTAGGACTAGTTAATAACTGCAAGCAAGGTGAGCAGGTGGGGCTGTGACTACAGCCCGGGTGAGAGGTAAGAAGATGCGGGCAAACAAAAAAAGGGCAAGATGCATAGAAATGATGAGGTATCAGCGGGACCTGGGCCAACCACAGCAGCACTCCAAGGACAAGGAGACCACAGACGGTCCTTAAAAACATTTATTTTCAGGGCAAGGGGTCATGTGACATCATCACATCTATGAAAATGGGGTAGAAAACAGGCTCTGGGGGATCATGTTTCCGAATGATAGCAGCCACAGCACACGTTCTCCAGCTCTGCAGAGGCCTTGGGCTCTCACCCTTGAAAAGTCGTTAGGTTGGGACAATCATCTTCATCTATCTTTTTGGTTCTGGTGAAACTATTGGACAGTGTAACATTTATTATTATTTTTGCACATAATTATGATGCTAACCCAGCCTCATGCAGTCTTCATGCTCAGCTCCGTCAGCACGGGGCTCCGTCCATCCTGCTCTCTGGGTCTATATCCAGGTCTCTAATTCTGATTGGGCAAAATTGAGGGGATTCATCTGATTTTGTTAAGTGTGCTTATTAGCAGATGCATGCTGTTCTACTACCTTCTCCAGGGCCTCAGCATCCCGACTCCTCCTGAGCGTCTTATCACTCATTCAAATTACAGAGGAATTAACTGCAGACCTCGGGTACAGGCTGGGGGCGGGCAGGAGCAAGGGAGGAGGTGTTCAGTGGGATGTGAGCAGGGCCCCTGGCAGCCCCAACCTCCCACAAACAAGGAGAGCTTCCAGTTTGATCAGTTTCAATTCTAATCTTATTCAAAGAAGGGGTTCCAATGTGTTCAAGTTTGAAAGCCACCCATCTAGCTCCATTCCCTTCTTACTCAAATGAGAAAACTAAGGTGCAGAAAGTCAAGGAGCCCTCCTCAGGATCACACAGCGAGCCAAATGGACCTCACGTTTCTGGATTCCCAGGCCAGTCTCCTGCTGTAGTATGTCAGGGTGATGCCACCCCAACATTCCAGATGTGGAACGGCCAGCCTTAAAGGCAGAAAATTAAATTCCAAAAAGGGTCCCCCAATGCCATGGCCACTGTGGACAGCATGAGGTTGCACTTTAAAAGTTGAGGTGGACCTGGATAAGAATCCCCGAAACCTGGGCAACTGGCAGCATCTTTTAAAAATAGATATGTTTTTATTGATTTTTAGAGAGAGAGGGAGAGGGAGAGACAGAAACATCGATGAGGGAGAAACATCGATCAGCTGCCTCCTACACACTCCCAACTGGGGATGGAGCCTGCAACCTGGGCATGTGCCCTGACCAGGAATTGAACCAGCGACCTCTTGGTGCATGGGATGACACTGAACCAACTGAGCCACACTGGCTGGGCTCTGGCAGCATCTTTTTACATAGTTATGAGATTATTCTGAGAAGCAGCACCATGAAGTGGGAAGAGTGCCAAGGAGGGCCAGGTGCCCTGAGTTCTGGTCCTTCTCAGAGGCCTTCAGACTTTGGGCAGGTGCCTTACTCTCAGAGCATGGTTTCTTCATCTGTAAAGAGTCAGGGACACTACTTCCTACAGTCCCAGAGTTGGGAAGTGACCACAGATGGAAAAGGGCTTCATGAACTTTAAGAATTATCCACATGTGAGATCCCCATTTAAAAAAATTTTAATTGCCAGGATATCTATTTTTTTAGCCCAGATATTAAGTATTCTCCTTTCTTTTTTCATTAAGAAAGAAAGAAAAGAAAAGAAAAGAAAAGAAAAGAAAAGAAAAGAAAAGAAAAGAAAAGAAAAGAAAAAAGAAAAAAGAAAAGAAAGCCACCCTCATTCCTGGTTGAGGTCAAAACATCTGTAAATAAAACATATTCTATCACACTCTAGCTCCATAGCCAAGACAGAGCATCTGACCCAGTTTTTACAATTTGATGTCCAGGAGCCAGGTCTCCACTGTCCACCTGGTTCAAGAATACTGGGCTTGTTAACAAGTGGACATCTTGGTCCCCAAACGTCCAGCTACGGGGCCCCTGAGTCTGGTAAAGTGTTTCTTTAAAATGGGAAATGGCAGGAATAAAAGAGCTACAGTAAGCTGTCCACACTCTAGTATGAAGGAGTGGAATTTGTTTTTGAGGAAATACTGTTTAAAAAAGAAGGCTAAGACCACACTTCCTATGTTTCTTCCATAGGGCCATCTTACTCCAGGGTGGCAGGGTTCGAAGGGACACAGGTAACATCCAGTCCAAATGCCACATTCACAGGAGAAGAGACCAAGGCCCAGAGAGGGAAGAGACCTGTCCAGGTCACACAGCAGGTTAGAGGTCAGGCAGAGGACAGTGGGACCCTCCTCCTTCCCCCTATAACACACACTAAGTCACAGAGCTCCACCAATCAGTCTCGGACAGATGAGGCAAAGAGTCACAGTGGACACAAGCCTTGTCCAGCCCTTTAGAGTTACACATATACCATGACTTGATCTTCCTCGGGAGGGACTAGTTCAAAAAAGAATTCTCTCAGCAATTCATTTCAAAAGTATAAAAAAACCACGTGTTTTCCCCCCACACTGCTAAAACTACATCTGCATATGAATCTAGTTTGCATCTAATTTTTAAAAACATACAAAAGGGGTGGTCTACAAACACAGTTTTTCCAACTTGTCACAAAACAAAACGATCCACGGCTTGACCTTCCCGTCATCCTGTGATCAATGTTTTTAAGACCCTGGAAGAAAAGAGGAAAAAGAATGAGAGGAAAGAAGTCCACTCTGTCCAGTCAACTGCATGTTAAGTGGAAGGTGGTTTGATGACGTTCCCTGTAGTTAGATGACGTTCACTTTTCCGTTTTCTGTGCATCCTCTGAAGACGACGTAAGGCCTTGTATCCAGAAAGTGCATAACAACAGTGGCTAAATACGGAATAATGTGCATTACACAGCAAAATCCTTCTGCTTTTCATAAACTATCAACTTTTTTCTAACTTTTCCTGCCCTGTTAAAAACCCGCCAGAAGGCCGTGGTGACGGGGCCTGCTCCCGACTGTTCGGGCGATCCTCTAAGGTCATCCCTCCTGCCCTGGGCCTCCTGTGGGGGGGCAGACCATGTCTGCTCTCTCTAGGAGGAGCTGCAGGGAATATTCCCTTCAGCCTCAGAAACAGAAAGAAACCGCTGGTCCTTTTCGCCTTGCAGACGCCTGTAACGTTCACAGCTGGTAGGTGGGAAGCCGAGTGCCGTGTAGAACATACTAGTGATACTACCTGCCCATCGTAGTATGTTCCTACTCTTGCTCTGTATCCTTCTGGTTGCCCTGATTTATGCATCTTTTTCTTTTTTATTACACATCTTATAAATGATCTCAATCTCTTGTGACACAGGAATATAAATACAAAAATGACTGAGAACACGTACGTACTCAGTCATATGTGGTCATCTGGAGCTGGGAAGCGAAGGGCTTTGTACGTGTTCAGATCACTAACTGTCACCTTGCCGTGGGACTGCGTCTCCCCGACCGCGTTGGCCGAATGGCACTGGTACACTCCCTCGTCTTCCTTTCTCAGGGGGTTGATCTGGAAATAAAGCAAGCAAGCAAGTTCATATAGTTCTATAGGGTACAGTAAAATCACCTCCGGTATTTAGTCTTGGTGATACCTGAGCGCTTAATTCCTTTTCAAAATAAGCTAGAGCTCACCATCTTTTTGCCTTGGCCTCCAAGGAAGAATTTAGATTTCTTTCTCAGTACCCTCTATCTTGGCTCTCATTTTAATGTTTCCTCTGCAGTCCTGCCTTTTACTGTGAGCTACCTTAGGTCCTCTGATTAAAAGGGAAAGGTATAGATTATAAGGAAAATATTGTAAATTAAAAGAACAAAAATTTACAGCCCAAGGAATGGCCCACAAGGGTTCCCAATGGAGGCAGCCTTCACAAATTAACACCAAAGAAAACCTTTTCCTCCACACTTCTAATAAAGTGTGGGAATGCTAGGGTCACAGGGCCCTTGGATGCTGTCCAGCCTAAAGCCCTCTTTTAACAATTGTGGACACTGAGGCTCAGATTTGAAAAAGCCACGGACCTAACTGCATTCTGAGCTTCTGAGCTGGGTGCCGAGGAATCAGCAAACCCTGCAGAGATGGTGGTGAAGTGGGGAAGATACCCCCAGAGCGCAGCCTGCTCCCCCTGCCCCTGCAGGGCAGATCCACAGCAGCTCTCCCCTCTCTTGCTTTCTCTTGTTAGAACGACCTCTATCCATTGAGAGTCACTCTGTAGACTGGGAGGCTCTATGCGCACCATCTCATTTCGAACTCACGCCAATCATGGGTGAAGGGGGAGCATCGTTAATCTCATGTTACAGGAGACTTCCAGGTAAGTCACAGACTGTTAGAATCACATGTCCCTTGCACACTGTCCAGCCCAAAGCCCTCTTTTTTTAATTGTGGACACTGAAGCTCAATGAGGTAGAGTGAATTGGCCAACATGGACTTGTCACTCTACTGCTCCTTCAAACACATGGCATTCCCCTATCTTAGCAAAACTGCTGCAAGTGGCACAGAAGAGCCATGAGAGGATGTGGAAGTGCCGTCTTCCCTCATCAGCCATGTGGTCTCGGGCAAGTATATTAGTTTCCTATGGCTGCTGTAACAAATTACCACACACCTAATGGCTTAAAGCAACGCAAACTTATTATCTACACTTCCTGAGGTCAGTATTCCGAATGGGTCTCAGTGGGCTACAATCAAGGTGTCAGCTGGGTTGCTTCTTTTTTAGAGGCCCTAGGGGAACATCCATTTCTTGCCTTTTCCAGTCTATATGGGCTGCCTGCATTCCTTGGCTTGTGGCTCCTTTCTTCCATCTTCAAAGCGAGCAATGGCAGGTCTTGTCTTTCTCACACTGTCATCTCTCTGGCTCTCTCTCCTGCCTCCCTCTTCCACACTTAAAGGACTCTTATGATTTCATTGGGCCTACCTAGATAATCTGGGGTAACTTCCTTATTAAAGTCAGCTGATTAGCAACCTTAATTCCATCTGCACCCTACTCTCCTCATGCCCTATAACAGAAACCAGTCACAAGTTCCAGGAACTAGGACATGGACCTCTTTCCAGGGCCATAATTCTGCCGACCACTGAAGACGACAGGCTCGCAGGGGTTATACTGCCTGCCCTGCTTTCCTCAAAGTTCTTACAGGCTCCAATGGGAAGTGGGTAAGAGCAGCTTTGAAGCATGTAACATGTTACAGAAATAGGAAGGGTGCTTTATATGGGCCAATCCTGAACAAATGAGATACTCACCAAAATCCAAGCTGTGGCCTCATGGTCAGAAGGACCCCCTCGCACCTGGACAGCTATATTGACATGGTCCCCAGGCAGGTCCTCCAGAACCTGGGTGCCCTGGGGAGACTGTGTGACCTAAAGAGGAAAGCCAGAAAGCCAGGAGTGGTTTAGAAAAAGCATTTCTGGGAACTACCACCCCACAGACATGTTTGCTGTCTTCATCTTCCCATTGACGTGAAGGCCAAAATCCTAGTAGCTCTTATTCTTGTTACAGTGCCAGTCATGTTTAAAACCCAGATGTATGTACAGACAGCACACCCTGACGGACAGCGAAGATGTGGACACCACCACCATCTCGCAGAAGCAGTTCAGAACTCCATGGTCTTTCTCAGGGCTGCTGAGACAAGGGACAACCTATGCTGTGATCCATGCTAGTCTCTCAGAAATTGATCTGCAGGAAGATCTAGTTTTGGAACAGGATTGGGTTATCTGCCACCAGCCAAGTCTTTCTAAAACCCAAATCTAGTAGTCTCCTACTTCATTCCCACTGATCTAGGCTAAACAGCAGAACTTTCTGGACAGCTGAGTAGCCAAGAGAGCAAATGCCACAGGAAGGATGGCAACTGCCCTTCTCTGGGGTGGGCTTTAGGATAAAGGTTTTGAGGCATAAACCTAGAGGCAGAGGAATGGTACATAAGATATCCTTTTAAAATCCTCTTATCCACATATAAAGATATGCACACAAACATGCTTAAATGAAGAAAAAAACATTTACACCTCTCCCCCCCCTCACTCTCTCTCTCTCTCTCTCACACACACACACACACAGGAGTTCTTGGATATAAATACCTTCCTCCACATGATGACTGGGGGAGGCACAGCCTTCACCTCACAGGACAGGTACACCTGTGCCCCAGTGACGTTGTGAACACTTCGGGGTGGAATGATGACCACAGGAGCTGGAAGAAGACAGGCAACACAACCTTTACCCTGCCAGGTCCCAAGGACCCCGCTTCTAGAATTCCCTGCTAGCGGTGAGCCTGTTAGGCCAGTCTAACCTGAGGAGAGCAGTGGCCAACTAAAGCTCTTCATGCATAAAAAACAAACTCGTAGGCAAGGAGTCAAGGAAGAGAGTTTGCCTTAGACCTGGAAGGATGCCTGCGTGCTTCCTCACCCATCACCTTTGTTCCGCCAGCAGGAAAACAGGGATCAAGAGAGAAAAGGCAACTTCTCAAAGTCACCAGCATGTCTGCGGCAGAGCTCCTGTCTCGTCACACTCCCTCCCAGAGCCCCGGCTGCCATCTGCTTTTGGCTCAACTACACGACAGGGCGTTGGGCTCCGGGAGGGGCTGGTGTTGCTTCACCAACAGCGGAGTCTTCTAACAGATGGGCTTTTCTCCTTCAGCGTGGAGGGCGTTTCAAAGAATAATGCCCCATAGGACAGCTGCATCTGCCCTCGAGCTGAGACCCCCCGTCGTCCATTCAAGACGCTCATTTGCATATCACACACTCACAGACTCCACTGGGCCTCCCCCACCCCTAAAGGCAAAACTGCTGGCCTGGAAGCCGTGTGAAGGCTGGGAATCAGGCAACGTGGATCTAGGCTGCCAGAACATTACACAAAGGGAAGGGAAGCTGTGGGCTCGCTGGATGGGACCAGAGAGCATGTGGGCATCTGAGTTAGAAATTCTTAGCTCATACGCCACACCCTGCCCTCCTCTCTGTGCCTAGCATCTGCTCTGCTCACATGGGGACTGAAAGAACCAAGTCCACTGCCTTGACTTTCATGCCCTCTGTTGGCCCCTCAATGTACCCGCCTCTGCATGGAATGCACTGCCCAGCTCCAGACGTGGATGGCACCCCATCGTGCAGGGCTGAGAGGGTATGTGTTCTAGTCCAGGACCAGGGGGTTTGCCCCGCATTGACCTGCTGGTCACAGCCTGCCGTGCAGCCCAGGCACTTCCAACTGGTCTCACCTGCACAGGAAGGTAAGCTTGGCCCACCCTTGCATCTGGTCCCAGGGTGTCTTGGGCAAGGGGAAATGTGGTCTCTGTCAATAAATGCTCTCTGCTCAGTTTTGCTGGACTTTAAGATGCCAATAACACCCCATGCTTCACAGGGTTGTTGAGCTGATCTTACCATGTGATGAGTGTGAAAGTGGTGGTTTAAGTTAACATGATATGCAAGTGGGGGTCAGGAGCAGGTCTAGTAAACAGATGACTGGGTGAAGAAACACATGACAAATAAAAAAGCAAACACATTCATTCTTGAGCCATCCAACTGCAGAGCGTAGGGGCTCCTGAGGCTTTCCTGGTGACTCAAGAAAAGCTCAGCAAGCCAGCCGTGGAGAGGAAAAGAACAAAGGGAGGGAGACAGAAGGCTGGAGCAAAAGGGGAGAGGGACAGGAGTGAAAGGACGAAGAGATGAGACTGGTCTGGCTCCTTCAGACAGACTGGGAAGCAGACCCTGTCAAGCTGCTGCCAGAAAAACTTTGGAAAACTGTCTTAGAGCCACAGAGTCTCAAACTAGAGGGGCCTAACTCCCCAAGATCCTGTGCCTGATTGTCTGTGATGTTCTCATCTAGCCTCCACTTGCATGCCTCTAGTGACAGAGAACTCACTACCTATGGAGACAGGCCCTTCATCCTTGGAAGGCTCTGCTGGTAAGAAAGCTTGTCCTCATTGTAGCTAACACCCACTTCCCTGTGGCTCCCACCTGTTTATCCCAGGCTGCCGTCTGAAGCCCTACAGCCCCCTGGGTGCCCCAAGGAACTCCAGTGATTTGAATACAGACACTGCCCTTCTCCCCCACAGACTTTCTTCCTCCTAAGCCTGATCAGTTCACTCCTTCAGTTGTGCCCATCTCACTGCCCTCTAAGCACCAAACCCCTATTTACCTCCCTGAGTCTAGCCAACATCACCCCAGGGAGCCAAGATCTTAGGCTTTTAACACTGATGCATCCCAGCCACCTGCCCTGCTGCCACAAAGAACAACAACACCCCTGCTCTCTGGCAGGAGCCCCATCTGCACAGGCGACAAAGAGAATCTGATTTATTCCCGTTCTCCTGCCAGCATGGCCTCTCCTGGAGCCCAAGCCGGTCCTTGAATGGCTCACTGTGGGAACAATCAGAACCACGTCTTATTCCAAAGCCCTCAGTGGATTCCAGAGGGACACTCAATCAACGTGTTTTACTTTTGTTCATGTAAGGTCATAAATTTTAAATGAGATTTCATCAATCCCTTTCATGCCTAAACGAATAAACCAGTAAATCACATTTCCCATTTCTCTCCTTGCATTTCCCTCTCCCTCTCTTTCAATAACTACAATTAGGAAAGACCATCTTGCAAATACTGTCTTTGCCACTGATTTCATGGCAGAAAATGCCATTTCTTTTACAAAAGAGCTTTTGATGATAAAGTGACATTCAAATTTTTACTTTTAAATTTATACCCAGCACACTCACTCTTTCTGGCATACAGGTCTAAGTTCTGACCGATATGTACAGTTGTGTAACCACTGCCATAACCAAAAAGAGAACAGTTGGGTTATCTCAAAATTTTCCTCATTTTTTTCAAGTGTCTCTTTGTCATAGTAAGCTGTTTTCAATTTTAACCTGTCTGATTTTACATTGAAAATATTTTTATCCACAACAGCTCTTTATGATCAGTCACCATCATCGTCATCATCATAGTAACAATGGTAACAATGCTACCGGCTAACACTGAGCTTGTTGTGCACTCAGCACTCTTCTGCTTACAGGGATTATTAACCCGTTTGATCTTTCCAGCCATCTCGCCAGCTGCCAGCTGGGAGGGCTAGCTGGGGTCACTCAGCCTTAACTGGTGGGACGAAGATCTGAGCCCAGGGATCTGGCTCCAAGCTGTGTCCCACCATTTTGCCCTCTCCTTACATGACACTTCCACATACACTACTCCTTTTTGGAAAGACTGGAAGGGAGAGAGAAAGAGAAAGAGAGAAAGAGAAAGAGAGAGAAAGAGAGAGAAAGAGGGGGGGAGGTGAGAGACACACATCAATTGGCTGGGGATTGAGCCTCCAACTGAGGTATGGGCCCTTGGCTGGAATCAAACCCGGGACCCTTCAGTCCGTGGGCCAATGCTCTAACCACTGAGCAAAACCCGCTTCACACTGATTTTTAAAGTGAGACATTTGTTATTCTGCAGGGACGCCATTTTAGTATAAGAAAACCCTTAGGGATTGTGTTGGGGGTCCCCAAGACCACCCCTAGGTTCAATGATTTGCTAGGAGGACCACAGAACTCAGCATAGTTTTACTCACAACTGTGATTTATCACAGCAGGAGACAAAGTAAATCACCAAAAGAAAAAGGCACATGGGGCAAAGACTGGGGAAACCAGGTGTAAGCTTCCAAGAGCCTCTCCCAGTGGTCACACAATACATGCTTAACTTACCAGCAATGAACTGTAACAACATGCAAAATGCCATCTACCAGGAAAGCTCACTGGACACTCAGTGCCTGGTGGTTTTTATTGGGGGAGTCACCTAAGCTCCCTCTGCCTACTACATGCTGAAATTCCAGGCTCCCAGAAAGAAAGCAGCTGTGCAGCTACCTCTGTTCAGTTTAAGCACAGTGAGCCACCATCATCAGTTCTGGGCGTGGTGGGAACCCTCCTGAAATCCAAGTTCCCAGATGCCAGCCAAGGGCCACCCCTGCCAGCAGGCCTATCTAATTTGCTGACTCTGCTATGCTGACTCTTTTCTGCGCAGGAATGAAACCCTCCAGGTGTCACCCCAAGGGAACAGCTCTTGTGAAGATAGCATTAAATGGGTGATGTGTCCTTAACACCAGCAGGGCATTACCGCCCTACCATCCCCAAGGGCTCATTTGCGTGTGGCACTGGGATGCTCAATGTCATGGCTATCGAAGGCAGGAGGAACTCAGGTTCAAATCCTGTCTCTGCCACATCCCGGTGCTATGACTTGGCTTCAGTTTCTTCTTCTTTAAAATGGGTACAGGAGTCCATTCTCCCTCCTTTCCCCTCCCCATATGCTATTGTGAGGAACAGTTACGAGACCCTTTGCAAACTCTAAAGGTTTCCATGGAGGGACTTGAGGACTCGGCAGGTCATGCTTCCCCAAGGGTGGTCTCCTCAAAAATGGCTCTACTGGTGCCTGGTGAGCAGGCCTATTGGTGGGCTCTTCCTGGAGGCTCCAGAGGCCATGGTCCTTCCTCCGGCAAGCCCAGGGCGAAATCTTACCGCTGCCAGAGCTGCTACACTCCTAGAAGAGCCAGGCTTTCCTTTCTACCTGCCTTTGACAAGTGTCAGGTGGCTTTCAAGGGGGAGGATGGTGCCTGGTCGGCCCAGTCTGAATGTGCCAGCTTTGTCTTTCTAGCTGTTCCTTGCTCAATACTCATTTCTTTCAGCAACAGCCCTAGAAATGCTGGGACAGCACAAATCTACCCATCAGGTAACAGAAATAGTCACCCAGGTGTGTCCCAACAAAGGCAGCACTGAAGGCGGGCAAAACGGACCAAGGGAACCTCAAATGCCCAGGGTCCCAGTCAACAACAGGAGCCTGGCAAGTTGCCAACTGTTTCTTCCTTACCCACACATGAAGATGAAGATAACCCTCATCCTCTGGGGTGAAGGGAGAGAATGAATGCAGCTGTGTCATTAATGGTGCGGATCTGTACAAATGAAAAGGTGTGATCTGTCCCCCCACCCCATCAGCCGTGTCCTTGGTGGCTGGAATGAAAGATCTTCTCAAAGGCCTCCAAGATTTCCTTAAAGTGAATAGTGCTAGGGAAAGAAAGAATATAAAAAATCATCCCCCAGGACCCCATCTGCCTGCAGGAAAAAGCGCACCACCAAGAGTTTAATGATCGACGCACTGAACAGCCCTGATAATTTATGCTAATAGTCACCTTACGATGTAGAAAGAGAAACAGCTTAATCCTGCTCCCCACAGCCTGCGCCTCTAACCCCTCCCTCGCGTGAAAGGCTTTTGAGCATGAGGCCCCCCTTCTTTGTCCCTCTCACAAAGTGGCATTCGCTGCCTCTCCTGGTTACCTGGTAACACATGCTTTGCAAAGACAGATTTCTAAGTGGAGCTGGAATTCCAACCGAGGTAAATTTTTCAAGATTCAGGGTCTTAAGAGCTCACTGAAGCTTCGAGCACTCAGTGTCCTGGTGGGCACTGGCACGGGACCCTGTTCCTATCTAATGCAGCATTCGAAACAGGACATCACCCTGCTGTCTGCAGGATCCCACCCCCTCCCAACGTTATGATCAGAGTGCATGCCTGGAACAGCACAGCCTTTTAAAGTAATGGTAGCAATAACAACATAATGCCACGCCACCTTACAGTTGAGAAACAGAACCAATAATTCAGTTCAGAATGAAGCCTCACCCCTCAGCCTGGCACTTATGGCTTGCAGTGAGCCTGCCCTGAACTACTCCGGGCCTCACCTTCCCCAGCCATCCCACTGGGTGGCTGCCCAGCAGGCCCACTGTTCACACTCACTACAGGACCTCCTACGTCTGTGCCTTGGTTCATGCTGTGCCTCCCCCATCCCTCAACCCAGGACTTTTCTACCCATTCTTCAAGACTCCTTTCACATGCTTGCCCTCTGTGAAGCTACTCCTGTGCCTCTAAGGAGCCATCACCAGTGCTAAACAGAAGAACCAGCAACAAGCCTTGGGGGAAAAACAGGAGGGTAGTTCCAGACTGAGAAGCCCTCAAGACTCAAGAGTAGCTAATATGTGGCACCTTCCTAATCAGGTTGCCAGTGGCCTAGAGATGCATGGCCCCTTCTGAAAAGAGCCAGGAAAACCGAGGCTGGAGCCTCACATCAGCTGGGAACTAGCCTCCTTCCTCAGTTTTCCTTTCTATTAAATGGGAGTGAGACCTGACCATGGTAGTTGTAAAAATCGAGTAAGAAGATGGGATGCAAACACGATTTCCAACAGTAAAGAATTATTCACATGTGGGAACACAGTGGGTCTTCAATAAACGTGTTGATCAGAGGATGACTCTCATTATTAGGCATTTTGGGGCATTTCAGAGCATCAGAGGAAAGGGAAGCATTTAAGCCTAAAAACTGTTTCCAAATGCTCCTGAGAAGCAGGCGTAAGGACACCTCCCACACTGTGCGGAACTTGATACATATTTACCTGGCCTCATTCTGTTCAAGCCTGGAGCTGCATAGTGAAGGAGCTGCTGAGTAGCTGAGGAGGGGTGGCTTTATTGCCAGTGTTGAGGCAGAACAGCTGCTGCTGTGATCAGTCTGCTTCGCTTCAACCAGGGTCCCCAGGGGCATTGTTAAAAAGTGCTCCTGCTTCGTCCTCTGTCTAGAGGGTGGCTTCTGGGCCGCAGAGTGAGGTGCCACTTCTGCCTTAGTCACCAGCTAGGAAAGGCCCTCCCTGTCCCCACCTTCATGCTTCACCAGGACACAGAAACAGGGGCCACACAAACATGTCAGGACAAAAGGCAATGGGAAGACAGTGCCTGGTCTGCAGTGGATGACAACTGCTAGTGGGGAAGGAGAAGTAAATTCCAGGGAGGCCTGATGCCTGTCACTAATGGGATCATTAAAAGCAGCTTCTGTATTGCCTCCATTTGGCTCCATGAACATCTTTACGCCCGGGGCCCATGCCTGAGGTGCGCCTCAGGGCCCATACATCAGAGTGGAGGGGCTGTCACATTTACTTGTCATTTGGTAATTTTCAATGAATTAGGGGTATGGGGTTTCCATCTGCCATCTGGCCTCACTCTGGTAACCATGGCAACCACCACCTGCCTGCCTTAACACTATCAAGTCCTGTCCTGAAAGAACACAGAACAGGGTGTAGGGGACCTGAGAGCTGTCCAGGTTTTACTGGGCACCCTGACCAGTTCCCTGCCCCCACTCCAAGTCTCAGTCTCCTCTCCAAATAGATTTGGTCTAAATATCTTAAATATCTTCAAGGCATCTCTCTCTCTTGGGAACAGAATGCTACTCCTGGGAAAAACCATCTGAGACTGAGACCATCCATACCAGCAAATTCTGGGGACCTGGTCAGCATTTATGTCTCCTGCATGTGGAGAGAAAGTGTTACCTGCTGAAGACAAAGAGAACCGCCTGTGAATTAACTGCTGAGGAAAGCAGATTTTAAGAAAGAGTGACAGGAACTAGAAAAAGGAAGGAGGCAGGACTGTTTAAGTGCCACAGGGCAGAAACAAAGGGACCTCAACAGTGGCTCCACAGGGGCTGACATGACTCAGAGGGAAGAGACGAGCCCAAGGTCACTCAAGGGGAAGTGCCAGCCAGCTCTCCTTCATGGGAGGCCCAACTAGGAATGGCTAGCAGTGCTGTTCCTGTAGTCCAGGGAAGCCTCAGCCTCCTCAATGGGCTGTACATTGTTTTCATGTTTCGGGACAGGAGCTTTCCTGCCCCATCTCCAACAACTCCGTTCTCCTGGACATGCATCTACTCGGAAGGCTGGGGGGGAAAATAATAATAGGAACTTCCCAATGCCTGTTAAGTCCTTTCCCCACCCCCAAGGCTTCTTTGTTGGAACAGAAGTCATTACACTGACTTAGGCATTTAGGTCTGGACTTGGTCTCCAGGCATGGGCCGGAACCCCAAGCTGGACTCCTTGGGACTCAACCAAGACTCTCCAGGCAGTGTAGAAAGGGGCAGTTCTCCAAAACCTACTAGGCTGGCAGGGTGCGTCTCTGGGCATCCCTTTACTAATGTTTTATTTTTGTTTGATTTTTAAAAATTACATATAGAAGGTGAGCAGCAAGAACACGCATAGACAACTTTACTGTGATGTTAATGAAGTTTAAGTTTCTAGGTCCCAAGCAATGACTAATTTTCGATTCCTTTAAAGTGGGACCCTCCAAATTGTATAAGCCTTGGCCCCACAAACCTGGGTCTGTCCCTGAAGGCACCATAATCTTTTCAGAGCCTAGGTCTCCAAAGGTCTTACCTGTCTTCAGTGGGCCCCAGCCCTGGTCTGGAGGTCTCCTCCTCCTCTAGCATCTTCACGTTCCCTCCCTCTGCATCCAAACAACCCACTCCGGGGAACTGGGCCCAACGAGCGCCTCTCACTCCCAAACTCCTAGTCTTGCGGAGGAAAACATGCCAGGCCTGTGAATAACTTCATCTGCAAGTACTTAAGTACCAAAAGGCACAGCGGGTTGCCCAAATTCCGACCAGCTCAGCGCCTGGTGTCCCCATGAGCTTGGTAAGGGAGGGTGCCGGGTGCGAGTCCCTGCCCCGGCCTCCCTGAGCACCTTGCCAGATAGAAAACTGCTCCCTAGGGGCAAACAGAGGCTCCGGCGGCGCTGTCCGCCGTGGCGCAGGGTGGGGCGGAGGCGCATCCTTTGCCGCCGCCCCAGAGCGTTAGGGTCCCTCCTCCTCCCGCCTCCGCACCGAGCGGAGGACGCCGCACTCAC